CGCCCGCACAACGCCCCAACCATTCCTCGCCCATGCACTCCCCGTTGCAGACGAACAAAATCATATTTCCGTTGTGAATGTGTGAATTTCAATCGCCTGTCGGGCGCATCACCGCCTGTAGCCTTGCTCCTTGATGCTGTACACCGTACAAGTTGCACGCATAGCTAATCCCTCAAGCCCTGTGGTCAACGTACACCACTCATCACTTCCACCACAAGGAGATTGCGCGGGGTAAAATTTAAGGAGAAATTGGTTGGCTGCTGACTCATCAAGCAGGCCGTGCAGTCTTACCGCGCCGGCTCTGCCCTGCCCGCGAGATTCGGTTCTGGGCACCAATTTGTTGACGGGCTGATACGGACTGCAGGACTGGCCGTGTGGCACCGTCACATGTCAATTATGTTTGCACGGTACACAATCTATGTCAGCTACCGCGTGAAACCCCTGGCTGGGCTGTAGTCAAGCAGGCATCGCTCGACCGTGGAGCGCTCACGTCATCCCGCAGCCGCCTGTGAACGGCCCGGGCACCTTCAACCCAACGCGTTGTGCGATTCCCACACCTCGAGTGAGTATCCTGTACTGGCTCGCATGGCGGCGCAGCAGTCGGGAGCTGAATCACGCGTGTAAGCCCGGTTACTGCAGCCACGCACGACAGAGGAGTCACAGGTGCGAACTTGTCTGCGCCCTTGCGATCGATACGCCGTTGCGCTCCCGTGTACACCTGCTACTGAACAAGTCTATTTCGTTGGTGATGAGCTATGCAATGTGGTCGCTCGTTTCTTAGGGATTTCTACAAGCGCCCTAGTGGCTGGGCATACGGTAGCTGAGCTCAGCGTGGTCGTCCCTGGGCTGTGTCACGGATAACACTTCTCTCCGTCAATCTTGTAGCGTGATACACCTGGCAGCCTAGGTCACCAGGTAGTCCGCAAGAGAGGGAGCGCCGCTGGACATGGGCCGGGCAGTCATGTACCAGCCGGGCCTGCGCGAGGGGCTTCCTTCTCTTGGATCATGCGACCCAGAGTTTCTATGCTTCCATTACAAGGCAAGGCCGGGGCCTTCAGCATGTGCTTTTGCTTTGTAAGCAGATCGGGGCCGCGGCGCGCCTCAATCCTGAACAAAGCATACTGCATGAACAAAAAGCGACGCTTCACGCGCGTGGTGGCGGCCCGTGCAGTGCGGTGCGGCCAAACCATCTGGCTGCGCAATGCTTGACACACTGACTGGACTATGACACCGCATCGCGCCGAGCAGCGGCGGGTATACGACCGCCCTTTGCGGGCCACTGATGATATGCACGATTTGATTGGCAGGGGCGCATGTCAGCCAGGGCAGGGGCCACAGGACTGGACGCGTACAACCAGGCCGCTGCATGTCAATGGCTGCTCCGATGGCCACCACACCCTCGACAGGTGGACCCCTGCCCAAAGACGTATGCGCACGACTGGGCAGCTTGTCCCTGGTGAGTGTGCGCATCAGGCAGGGTCGCAGCTTGAACCGGCCAAGCAGCATGTCATGTGGGCTCGAAGCAGCAGCGCGTGCATCCCATCGCGCCGCCGGCACGCTGCAGCACCTACGATCTGTGGCCGGTCGTCACGTGCCGTCACGTGCCTGCCAATGAGCCCAGGCACCTTCCGTTCCTCACTCTGCAACGCCGTCTGCTGCTGTCGCATCACGGGGCATCCTCGTCGCTGCTGTCGCAGTGGCCACCAGGGCGAGCGCGCAGCGCGGCGCGACCTGCGCACTGTGGGCTACCGGTCCACCGCATGCCCCTACGCCAAGAAGAAGCTGCCTTGCCCCGACGGCGACCAGGTGCGCGTGCCAGTTAGGCGATGCGGGGTGCTTTTGCGGCGCGCAGAGCGAAGGAATGCGCTACGTGCGCGCTGGGTGGCACTTGGATGTGACTCCGCCGATGTGCCACCGTGTGGGTCACAAGCTGAGGCTTTAGGTGTGCAGTCACAAGGGGGCGCGCCGCAGCGCGTCCATGGTTACACGCAAGGACTTAGTGTTGCAGCTGTTTTCCTTTTCTGATTTGCTGTTGTACCGCCACAGCAAATGGCTCCCTCTGCTGCACGGGGCCGCCCAGAGTGGGACGGGATGTCGTTGTCACACATGCATGACGCACTGCCCATCACCCGCCCTTGCGTGTGATTTGTCGATAATTTGCAGACCGGGGGCCTCTTCAACAGGCATTGCGACCGTCTCACGTGGCAACTTGAGGCCCGCTGGCTCACCAGTCCTCCAAATCTGTGCCGTCAAACAAAACACTCAACGCTGAAAGCTCCTTCCTGCTGCGGCCCACTGCTGCGCGCGCCCGCGCCCGTCGCCAGCCAACTGACCGGCCTGCTTGCCGCAACCCGTGCTGCAGTGCGCGAGCTCGCACAACCTGTTTGAGTACTGGCTGCACCCAGAGAGGTGAGGTTGGCTGCTGGTTCCCTTGCTTGGGCTTGTTACATCTGTCTAGGCCAGCTAGACTCCTCCCGCCACTGTGAACAACTGGTTGGGAGTAACAAGGGCTCACAACAAGCCGCCCAGTGCTGGCGGCTGGTAGCACGGGGAAGCTACACGCCCAGCCCCTGGCTGTGAAACTGCACGCCTCCCCATGGCTTAGCCCCTGCCACACGCCCGCCCCACCCTCAGATTCCGAACGGAAATCTGCCAGTACGGCCCCAGCTGCACGCGCCCGGTCTGCTTTTTCGCCCACCACAGCGGCGAGCTTAGGCCGCTGGCCCCAGACCTGCCGCCCGCCGAGCTGTGCTGGAGCACGGGCGCGTCCCTCAAGCTCGGGGCTAAGCGCGCAGCCGCGGCACGCCACACCACCACTGTCGTACAGGCAAACACACGCATGCAGACTGCCCCCCTGGCTGCTGCTGCGGGCGGCGCCGGCACGTACGTCGCCACGCAGGCGCAGCACGGCGCCGCCGAGCAGGCGGGCGGCGGACTGCAGGCCGGTGGGGGCGGCACAGCCTACGGCGCAACAGGCCCAGGCGGCGCTGCCGCGCTTCACAGGTATGGCAGCGTCGTGCTGGTCGGCGGCGACAGCATCGTGGTTGGCGGTGACGTCGGCGGCGACGGCAGAGTGTCGTATGTTCCTGCCCCCTCGGCTTACCAGGCATCCGGCGGCAGCGGGAGCCCGCAGCTGGTGATGGTCCAAAATGGACTGCTGGGCGTGCAGCACCCGCACGGCGACGCCGGCGGCAATGCCGGCGGGCACGTCCTGCACTTGCAGCAGGGCGGCGGCGACGTTCTGGCGGTCGATATGTCTGGCAAGGGCGTGGGCACCGAGGCAGCGGGCGGCGTCTTCTATCAGCAGACGTGGCATGAGGCCCCTGCCGGCCTGCTCCAGGTGATGCCTGGCGGGGGCCTGGTGCTGGTGCCACAGGTACAGCCCCGGCAGCAGCAGATGCTGCTGCTGCAGCAGCAAGTGCAATACCAGCCGCAGCAGGCGCAGCAGCAGCAGCAGCAGCGGGCACAGCGACAGCAGCGGCAGCAGCAGCGGCAGCGCCAGCAGCAGCAAAGGCAGCAGCAGAGGCAGCAGCAGAGGCAGCAGCACCAGTTCTTCACAACCACGCGGCAGAGCGCTGGCCTGCAATCGCAGGGCAGCGGCACACACTCCAGCAGCATGGGCGACATGATGCACTTTGCCGGGACCAGCAGCTCTCCAGCCAGCAGCGGCAGCCTCGGCACGCCTCAGCAGCAGGCGCAGCCCCCAATGCAGCAGATGTGCGAACCACAGCAGCAGTCCCTCCAGCGGCAGTCATCTGTGGCGGTGGCGGCCCTCCAGGTGCGCGCCGTGTCCGCTTAACCTGCCGGCTGACACATGTTCTGGTGGCTCCAAGGCTGCCTTGCAGAGTTTCTCAAGCTGCAAGTGCGGCTCAGAATCCTTCATTCCTATCCTCCATTTGAAAAGATTTCCATGCCCAACTTGCTGCCACGTTCGCAGGCGATCGGCGTACGCGCGCCAGGCGCCGCCCCGCCCGGCCTGCACCTGCACCAGCAAGCGCACGACCCGCAAACAGCATCCGCGTTGCCCCAGCTGCAGCTGGTGGCCAGCGCCCAGATGGGCCGGCAGTCGGCGCACATGCAGCAGGAGCAGCGGGACTCAGGGGTCCTGTTGGCACAGCAGCTGCTAGATCTCCAGCAGCACGCCGAAGCACTGTCCCTCTCCCTGCCGTCCCCGGGGCCGTCGCCCCTGCAGTGCCTTGGCGTCTCGCCGTAGGGCTGGCGGCGGCAGGAGCACCGCCCGCTGCGGGCCGCGCGCGGCTGTGGCGGCGGGTGCAGGGCCGCTTATGGCGCGGGGCGCGATCGACGGCCTCGCGGTAAGGTTGCCGGCGTGTTTGGTCCGAGGGCGTGCTGAGGCCCTCGGTCCCGGGAACAAGACGATTGTGCTACAGCTTTGCGACCAAACATCACTGAAACCCCCTTTGTGCGTGGGCGTCCAGCCACACGCCATTGCGTCTTGACATGCACTGACACCTTTCGGCGCATGCCCCTCTGCCCCACCTGCGCCTAATGTGGGCCCTGCACTCACGCAAGGGCGAATCTTGACGTGGTCACTGTGGCGCAGTGTGGCAGCGCCGTCGGGGCGCCTTGAATGCAGGGGCAGGGCGAAAGCTCTACCGTACGCATGCCACTGCCGCCCGAGTTCAGGTGCTCCCAAAATCTCGGCCAATGTGGCTTTGTCACGGGCAGACCCAGCAGGGCGTGCGTCACCCATTACTGGCCAGCATTGCTGGTGGGATCACCGCTCGCTCCCCCGCTCCAAATGGGGAATCCAAACACTGCTGCCTTGCTTTTCGTGTGCTTGTGATGGCTTCAAACACACACGGCTGCAGCGCCATGCCAGGTGGTGTTTAAGAACCGCCGGCGGCCAGCTGCAGCGCAAGGGACGCGGCTGTTGGCCACTTTGCCCGGCCGCGCCCTTGGCATAATTGCTGTGCTTGTCTTCGCTCTGCTTCAAAAAGGCGCACAGCACTGCGGCTACCTCCATTCAGCCTGATGTGCGCCTGTTTCGTACGCCCGGCTTGTGGCGGCGGCGAGCTGTGGCCGTTTGCTCACGATTGTCCGTGCTGCATCAGCTGCACATGGCCTCGCTTGCACAGGACACATCCTTGCCTTGGGGGCCCCCTACCTTGCTCCAAACACCTGCAACCGTTTACACCTTTGGCGAGCACACCTCGCAATCAAATTGGCGCGCGGACTGTGCGGCCGCTGTCAGGGCGCACCGCACACTCCACAATAGCGCGACTTGGAGCCTCCCGGACGACATCAGGAATTTCGCAACACCGGGGTTGCCCGCCTGCACCCGCATTACTAGACGCTGCCCACGCGCTTGGAGTCACCCGGCAGCTGTGGGGGCCTTTGCGCACCCCAGTGCGCACCGCCGGCCACTACCATGTGCCCGCGTCTGAACCCATACCCAGGGTCAGGCCGGCATTAAAACTCGTCATTACTACCGCGTCACCATTACGCGTCTCGCCTGTGTGGATTTTCTATACTGTCCTTCTATTCCCTGCCTCATGCACCCTTTCGTGCCTTTCTCATCTGGCGCGGACGTGACTGCTCCACTTGAGCATGAACATGCCGTACAGGAGCCGCGCAGCTACTGGTCACCAGGTCACGCCTGCATGCGGCCCTTCCTTGGCGCGCTGCCGCCCGTGATTATCAGGGTTGGCAGCACGATTTGAGGAAGCGTGCCCTCACTGAAATGCGGAAGTTTTTATGCACATGTAATGCCTGATACCCTTGATCTTATACGTATGTGTAGCGGACTGCATTGACATATACCTCTGTGCACAAGAGAAGCATCGGCTACTAGCTCAGGAAACTGATTAACTGGGCGATCGCGTACGGATTCGATGCATTTCGCTATGATAACAACCAGCTGCGTGCACATATGCACAGCAAGCCAGACAGGGCAGGTTGGGGAAGGTCACTTTCTTTGATGCGTTCTTAATTATTTTCAAATGGTTTCAAAACCTCAACCTTCCAGACTCTACCCTGGGAGTGTGGCACGTTCAAAGCCCTTGCAGCGTTGACTCGTTGACCGCCGGCGCGATGGGGCGGATACAGTGATCGCCCCCCGAAGGCCCTAAACGATACATCAGAAATCCTCCATATATAACGACATAATTCGTTTCAGTTTCCACGCTCTTTCGCGTGGCAAGGTCGAGCCGCGACGGTTTTCGTCACGTATTGACAGCGAGGGCCCACACCATTTGCACAACGACAGCAGAACTGGACAAACCATGGAGCTGAGCCAGCAGGTATTAGTTGAAGGGTAGGGCACGAGCTGCCACATCGCGCGACCAACTATGCACACTGCGTGTGCTGCCATGCGAGGCGGCGGCGCAGCGCCAGCCCTGGCCCCTGACCACTGCCGTGCTTCCAAACGCAGTTGAAAAATTTTCAAGCGACACAACGGCAGGTGCAGCGGGAGCCGGTTAAGCAGGTGCGGCGGAGCAGCGTTGGTGCCACCCCTCATGAACGCCCCTCGCCGAGGCTCATGAACGCCCCTCGCTCCTACAGTCAGCAGCGGCAGCGCAGGCGTGAGCGCTGAGCCAGCCGCTGAAGCCGCAGGCGCCACACTTAACTTTAAGTGTTGTTTCATATTATGGTTGACCTTCCAGCGCGCCATGCCATATATTCGGTTCATCGCGTGCGCACGCAGGCACAATCTGCCAAGAATGAGGCCGGGCGTCACCAAGATGCGCTTCAGGCAAGGCAGGGACCCGTGCCAACGGGCTGGCAGAACTGGCAGCAGTGCTGTCGGGCTGACGAGCTGCCGCCTTGTGCCGCGCAGCAGCCTGCGGCACCTGCCAAACAGGCCCCTCGTCCCTCCGCTTCACGCCGCCGCGCAGCGTCAGCGGGGCCGCTTGCCGCCCGTTACTCCAGGTGCCCACGCGCTCAACGCCAGCCCATAGTTCACTTATCCACTGCCGTGTCCCTGCTGCGCCCGCCCGGGGCCCACGTGCGCCGCCGCCCCTTCCCAGGCGCTGAGCAACGGTCTGGTCCCCCCGTACGCCGCGACCCTGCATGTGGCGCAGCACGAGGGCGCGCGTGCGCCGCGGTCCGCCCCAGCCAAATCGATGAAGCCGCCGGTGGGTTGCTTGCGTGCGCATAGGTGCCGCCATGCCGTCCGCATCCAGAGGCCTGAGGGCGGATTGACCTGGGGACGGCGGCCTGCGATGTGCGCAGGCGTGGGAGCAGTGGTCACCACCGGCGTTGTTGCGGTGTGCTCAGCAGTCTGCCTGGCACCCGTCCCCGGGTGTCAGCACCTGTCACTCCCGTTCCCGCCGCTTTGCAGGGCTACTGCCGCAACGCGATCGGGGGTTTCTACACGACATGAGTGGCGGTGCTGCGGCCCGTGAGCGCGTCCTGTTTTCAGGCAGCCCGCGGCGCCGCTGGTGGACTGATCTGATGCGCGTTGGTTGAGGGTTTTTTGTGTCGTGGCTATGACTGCACACGTAGCAGTGCAGTTATGTTGGAGTTGATGCACGCCGCGCACTGCCGTTTATTATTCTCCTTCATTGTAAGAACAAGGATGAGTCCAACTGGCAAGGGATGCAGCTGCATCCCACGGCAGTCGTGGGGTCGGATGGCGCCAGGGCCATCATCAGTTCTGTTCTTGCACCTGTTGCACCCACACTGCACAGGTACTTCCATTAGCGTTGCCGCTGGGCCCATATGGGTGGAAAAAGGCCAAAAGTAGTGCGGTGCAGCCCGCAATGCATGGTAGCTGCGGTGGTGGAATCGACGGAGCGGGGGTGCACGTGTGGCGCCTGGCGCGGCAGTCAATGGTGGCGGCGAGTGCAGACGCGCATACCCGATGACCGGCGTTATCACACAGTCCATATTCTGTTCGTATCGATTCAATACTCTTGAACATTGGATTATTCTGGTTGTACGAGCATAATCGGATTGTGCCTGCGCGCCGCCCACGCATTCTCCTGCTCGCAAGCCCTGATTGACTCGTTTGAACCAGAAGATTTGTGTTTCCCTTGACAGCACATTGGATACCGACTCAGGCTTGGGTTGACGATGCAGCGAATGGCTGCACACCAACGCTGCAGGCCAGCCCCGCTGGCTTGCGGCCAGCCTTATCCAGCGCCAACGCGGAAAGCCTTTATAAGGCGGAGTTCTTCTGGGGGATATAGGCCGGGCATGCCGTCGGAGACCCTGGAGGCGTTCGGGTGCGTGCCGCAGCCACCGCAGCCGCTGCTGCGTGCGCCACACGCTCGTATGCCCGCAGCGTGCGTCATACTCCCTGTGTTAGGGCAGACCTATCAATCGGGAGGAACGCGAATTGCATTGAGATTGGGCAATGAAGCATACAGCCGCTGTGCGACGCCCTGCGCACCTGAGGCTGTCGGCCGCTGCTTGTGCATCGCCCGTGGTGTTGCCTTGAGGTCACCACCCGCACCTCCGCCAATCCGACCCTCGCGGTCCCACCCATCCCCGCGCCTGACCGTGTGCATCCCACGCAATGGCACTCCTTCAACCCGCCTGGGCCTCCTGCTTTGACACACTCATCTCCGCCGCGCACGCATTCACACACGCGTGACACACACACACACACACACACACACACACACACACGCGCGCGCGCACGCGTGCGCACGAGGTCAAAAGCCGTCCACACACGCAAACAATCACACGCGCACGCCCCCACCCGTAGGCTGCACCGACGACAGCGGTATTTCGCCAGGCGTGTCGCTGACCTCACACGCGAGGCGCGCAGCCACGCGCCGTCATCCCACCTCCCCGATGACCTTGAGGGTGTCCCGGGTGACATAGACCCGTCGGGCCTCGCGGCGCTGAACGGCGGCGCCCTGCCCGGCGCAGGGCGCGACGCCGGCGGGTTTGTGGGCGGCGACGTCGGCGGCGACCGCGCGTCGGCGCTGATTTCGCAGATCGCGCGGCAGCAGCTGGAGCTCACCTTTAGGCAGCAGCAGCAGCAGCAGCAGCAGCAGCAGCAGCAGCAGCAGCAGCAGCAGCAGCAGCATCGGCCAGATGCAGCGGCCAGCTCCGTCGTGGGCGACGGGGCCGCCGCCGGGGAGCAGCCTGGTGCCGGGGGCAAGCGCCACCCCCTCGCGCTGACCTCGTTGGACGACGCGCTCAGGTCGTCTGGCGGCGGCGAATGGGCCGACCCCCTCCATCACCATCAGCAGCAGCAGGAGGAGCAGCATCAGCAGCATCAGCAGCAGCAGAATGGGCATGCGGAGGGCCTGCACCAACGGCACCGGCCGTTGAGCGCCTCTGCCGCGCCGCCGTCGCCCGCAGAGGCGACCGACGTTGAACAGCTCCTGCAGCCCCTGCTGCCCCCCGCGGCCGCGGCGTCGGCGCCTGCGGCGCCGGTGGCTATGATTGGCGGGATCCCTCGCTCCATTGTTGTGCTGTCGTGCGTGAGCATGGCTCTGACGAGCGCGAGCTGTGTGTTCAACACGCTGCTGCCCATCTACATGGTGGCTGAGCTGAAGCTCACGATGAGGAGCCTCGGGATGTTCGAGGG